TGAACAAATTAAATTGGAATCTAACTTTTGATGATCTTAAGAAATCATAAGATTGACATATGTATGTGAACCACCACTCCTAGTAATTTTTGACTTGTTTGAATTCTTCAACAATGAAGCCCTCACTCTCCATGGACAATTAGATGTATGGTTTAAGCATTTAACATACAAACATATTGGTTTAGACTCAACCACAAAACAATTTTGATGAATCTTCATTACGTAATGTTTTAATGCATTTTTCACATCTTATTTACTGTCAAATAACAAGCCAACGAATAAAGGATCCCTTTCAACTCATGAATTGACTTCTTGAGAATGTTCTTCATTCATCTCTTGATTAGGATATTCCTAATTAATATACTTATACTGCGAAGTAACATTCTAAAAAGGAATTACAGTATCTCCTGCATTATATTTTGTGAAAATCTTTAACATTAATATTTACATAATTAACTAAAAACAACAAATTTTTAACATTATTCCACATTACCTCCTACATTTTCATTTACTTGTATATTTAAATTAGAATGAAACTCGCCTTCAACATCCGTCGAAGAAGAACTGCCTAACAAAATTTCTACTTCATCATCTCCATGAGTGTAACTATCATAATCTGAATCTTTATTATCTTCATCAACATCATTCCTAACTCCTTTATTGCAACAAATTTATAACTTTTAATTCAAATAATTACATATATTAATAAAAAATATTAGAACATAATTAATTTTACCTTCATTATAATCATGACTCACAAGAGTGCCATCATTTTGTTGTGAAAGTAATAAATTTAAATTCGTCATCTGCAACGGCAATGATGAACTTCCACTGACAGCAATATTTACATACAACTCAATAACATTTCTACCAAATTATTGTTAAAATGCATTTATCAATCAATCAATATCTTTATCATCACATATATTTAAAACTGTATAGTGTCTAATATTTTCATCAATCAAAAATTGAGAAATAACTTGATTATGATTAAGATTAAGTTTCAAATAATTTTTTTTTTTCAAGGCTTCAAAACTTATTCCTCGCTTTATCTGAATCACTTTTTTACTTCTTTCAAAGCTCACTTCTTCATTTCTTTTATAGATTCTACCATTCTAATATATAATAATAATTTCACTCATCCTGCATTTTTACGAATAAACTTTATTTAATATTTAATTTTTAGCAAAATAAAAAAATACAATACTCATTCATTGATTCAACAATTTATTTAATTAAAAATAACTAAACAATAACTAAATTCATAATTAAAAAATAAATAATAAATTTATTAAATTAAACTAACATGATTTTCTTTTAACTTGCTATTCTTCAATAAAAAATGAGAAGTGCTCGGTGGGTGTGGGTGTATGTATATATATATATGTATATATATATATTCAAGTTTCACCATATTATGTGAAAATTTTCATATTATAAGCACGTGTCATGTCTCTATTTGTTTCATAGTTTGTATGGCAAAATAGGAAAAAAAATTGCCACTAAAAATGCGAAATTAACAACATGTTGACATATGTTGAGGTAAGACTTGTTTCACTAATTTTGTGGTAAAAATTTAATATAAATTTTTTTTCACCATCACTGTTATGAAATTAACCAGAACGTGACATGTGTTATTGTATGATTACTTTCGCAGGTCACTTGGTGAAATTTGATTTAAAAAACAAATTGCTAGCCAATTTGGTAAAACCTTTTACCACGTCAATAATTTTACTCCAGACTGGAAAATACTTTAAAAGTTACTATAATTTGATAAGTTGTTTTTTAATTTACAATATTAAAATAAAAAAGCCTATTTTATATCACTTTTCATATTGTTTAGAATCCTATATTGATTATTTTCACTACTTCACATAATTCAATCTTAACTTTACTGTCTAACTCAACAATTTTAAAAAGTTTCATAAATGGATCCTATAACCAATACTTAAAAAGCCTCTAAAAGCCAGAATATACAAGTTAAAACTATGTGAGAACTAGAAAACGAAATAGGTGTAATTACTCTGTCTAACAATTTCTCCTTTTATGTGCCAAAAGGGAGGTATTCTCCAAATTAGAGTTGCTGTGGCAGTTACTATTTAACTCCCATTGGAGATGGCCTAACCAAGTAAGGATATATCTACTAATGATTTGAATTAAAATAGCTTATATAAACTTTCTCATTTTAAAGGAATGAAATATATTTTATTCTATTTAGCTGCAAATTAAATTATACTTTTACTATACAGAGATTGAATACTGAGTACGACCCACTAGTTTATGGTCCCCTCTGCAAGAAATATGCAAATCCATTCCGATTATTTACGTGCATGTGTTTGAAAATATATTAAAAAACTTGTAAATATGAATTCAAGGCAAAAGTTATAACCAAGTATTGAAGTAAATATAGATTCATGATTATGGTTGTTGCGTATATTTGAACACACACTTATCAATGGCATTCTAATTTTCTTTTTCAATATCCTGCATTATTTTCGTTCCGTATTACAAAGTAGAATGTGCCAACGTGGATACCAATTGACACAGATGGTCGTTGATTATGACTGATGAGAGCCAATTGACACAACTGTGGATTATAAGTTGTAATGAATTGAAAATATGAAGTAGCCTTGATTGGAATATAAAGTTCCCACTTGTCCAAATATCACATAGCAAGGACCTTGATCTCCATGTGGAAGGTGCCCACGAAATATCCATCTAATTTAGATTTTAGATTTTAGATTTCAAGATACACCATTACACGGGGACACAGTGCAAAAGGAGCAAATCCACTTATGGCATGAGAAGAAAATGACGTTGGTCCTGCCATATTGCACCTTTGCTAGGTTGTTTGAAGGTAATGTCATACACTCTGGACAACGTGGCATTCATATCATTGTAGTGATTTCAAATGTCAATATATATTTATAAGGTAAATGCTAATAAGTGTCTGATTAAATCATTAAAAGTAAAAAGTATTTTATAAAAACGTGTCATTAATGTACTTTTTAATTTTAATATATTTTTAATACAATCTCTAATAAAAAAATATTGTTAATTTTTTATTTTATACTTAAAGACACTAAGTAAGACACTTCTTTAAATTCATAACAACGGCTCCTGCTGGCTTAGTTTTTCTTCCAAATATTTAGATCTGCCAAATTTTCATAATTTTTTAGCAAAGGGATTTAGCATACACTATAATATATTAGTTGTTCCAAAAGCTTAACCTCTAGATGAATATTATTTGAACTTGAAGTATAGACAATGCACACAAGTCTACGTAGCTGCTCTTAGATTCAACATTTTATTACAAGAATGAGATTATAGGGATTAAGCTCTAAACCATTGTAAGGGCTCTTATTTGTGTCATGAAACTATTTGAAAAGGTTATAAACTATTAGGAAGTACATGTAAATGTTTTTTAAATCATATTTCTCTAAGTTCTATGATATGCATCTGCATATTTCTATATATTGACGATTTCAAACGAGAGATTCTTAGAACTGCTGACAAAGACTGCCACGAAGGTAGTCCCTTGAAGCACTTAGAGCATTCGACCAGGCGTGCCAATTGTGATCAATTTGTGATGTGAAACAAAGGGAATAATGATTTGTACTTGTGGTACATCCCATAGAATAGATTTTCTCCGAGATGAATATTTCATGTTCTTAATGTTTGAGGCAAGCTTTTTCTACAAGTTCTGCCGATTTTGAAGTGAAGATATTTGATCTTAAATATGTAGAAAACAGGTGATGGAAGGAGACAACTTGAGAGGACTGTAACAGAAATAGAAAATAAAAATAAAAGATGGTTTATTTTTCAAACTACTGCTAACCATACGTAAAATCTAACGGACTGTCCCAAGGTGGTGAACATCACATCATTAGAGAGCATTGTTTGAGCTTGATGAAGTTAAGATTTTGTTTCAATTTACTTCAAGTCTGTAATATATTTAGGTTTTTTTTTTTCTAAATTTTTCTTTAATTTAAAATTATTTTAAAGGATTATAATAATGGTACTTTCTACCGTATTTCTAAACTTAAAAGAGTATTAAATACTTTATTTAGATTATACTGTAATATTAAAGAATATTTACTTATTTTCTAAATAAACTACTAATTCTGTTACTACTAAAAAATCAACTATCATAATTGTTTCACATATAAGAGAGTATAGAATACTATTTTATTTCTTAAAACACCACAAAATTTACCTATAATAATTTGACAAGTTTGTTGAAAAATAAAAATATTAAAAAAGTCTAACTTTTAAAGTAAAAGTAATTAGTTTATTAGAAAAGAAATATTATAAAAGTCGACAGAACTAAAAGTTAAAAAGAAAGTGTCTAGAACTAATTTCATATTTATGCCTTGTGTTTATATTTGTTATCTATATTAGCTCGTAGTCTAATGTAGTCTACGGTTTTTTCAAAGATTTTCAGTTTTAGGTCATTCGATTTTTTTCAAACATTTTTTGTCAGCGGTTTCTTTAAAAGATGAGTTACATCCTTTTGTTTCTTGGTCAAGAGTTCATCAATTTGTAACAATTGGGAAGCAGATCTGAACCCACATCGCGCTTACCAGCCCAGTTATGTGGCCTCTCTTTTTGGTCAATCAGTTACATGACTGCTATTTGTTTTTGGTCATTCAGTTACCTGAGCGTTGAACAGACTAAATTGCTCCTAGTTTTATAACATTGCTCCTCAGGAAGCATGTATTGTCTATTTGTCAAGTGTCCCTTTTTTCCGTTTTGAAATGTGGGGATCTTTTCTAACAATATCCTATTTTAGGATAAGTTTGATCAAATTATCTTCGGGCCTTTGATGAATCAATTAGAACAAGATTTGTTTTCTTAAATACTGGCCTTGAAAAATAATACACAAATTCCAACATGGCTGTGGCTGAAAATCAGCACCTAAAAAACAAAACAAAAGATGGGCGAAAACAACATATACATCACTCGAGCTCTGAATCAGACATCAGGTAAGCCGAAAGACCAATAAAATGAACAGTTGTACCAATACCATCAAGCTCAATCAACTTCATCATTCTCTTTTATTTTCCTATTAAATTTGGCTTTATATTAAATTCACTCGCGATTTATCTCATCCAGACCAACGAATTGCATCAATCTCATCCCTTGCTGACCTGTATAACTCCAGCCTCTTGGCACATTGCTGCCTCCTTTCCGTCAACATAGAATCTTCATCCAGCATCTGGGCAAGTTGCCTTTCCTAAAAAATACAAAGAGAAAATTTTAGTCGAGATGGCTAACAAAGCATTTATCTGAACCTATTAAGTATTTAGCAATAGTTCAATCATTCTCATTCTTTTAACCACTTATCTCGATAGATGTTTCCCTCTAAAAGAGGATTGATCATGGTTGTGAATACAGTTTGATATGGTAGCAGGTGATTTATAATTTTATGTATTATACCTCCTTTTTGCCCAGTTGTGTGTAAAAATGGTCTAGTAAAGATCGCTTAGCCTCCCTCACTTGACAATGAACCACAGCCTTGGGAATGGTATTCCTCAACGATTCTGACACCATCCCAACATAAGATAAAACATTTGAACCGATCCTATTGAAGTGTCCCTCAGCATATCGGTCTGAGGAGGGAGCTGGATTCCCTCCCTTGTCGAGTTCCTGTGGGAGTTTACGGAAGTAATCAACTGTGATATAGGAAGATTCCATTTCCACCAACCGTAACGTTGTCTTCTTACTGTCTTCACGGAACCCCTCTAATGCCTCATTAGCAGCAGCTGCTATTTCAGCTTGAAGAGTTGGAAAGCGCTTCAATTCCTACAAACAACCATTGTCAAAACTAACCAGAACACATTTCATCCACAGACTAATAAGTGAACCATTACTGAGGGAAAACAAAAATGTCAACCCCCAACCAATTAAAAAATAAATAAAACTTTTAAACTGAAACCTGCGTTTCTGCAATTGATTTCCTCACTAGTTCTTTCAGCACTAAATGAACCTGTCACAAATAGAATAGAAATTAGGAAATATCAGTAGCTTCAAAAGTATAGACAGCAGCATAGAACAGGATCAATCGTGGAGGGAAAAAATTTGGAAAAGCTGATTTCCAGTCGAAGTTGAACTGAATCAAACTATTTAAAGCAGAAGCACTTACAGCATCGACAGAAGCTTGCGCGGGACCTTTGAAATAATTAAGTGAGCTCTCTAGGAGGCGTCGGTAACCTTGCTCTGGCGCTATTAGATGAGGTTGGTACCCGTCTGCCTCTGAAATCACTTTTCTCACATTTTGCAACGACAAGTGACGGTCCAGTGGAAGCTTTCTCAATGCCGCAGGAAGCTGGTAATCGAAAACTACATAAATTCGGTCGCCACCAGGTCGCCTGGGAGGGGGAACACAGAAGGCTAAAAATGTCAACGCTCTTCCTTCCAAGAAATATTATATCCACTTTTTATAAAACTAGATGCCCACACATCCAAATTCAAACGTCTAAGTAGGTTGACTATCATCGATAATTCCCTCAGTCTGCTAAACAGACCGATTGATCCCGATGAACACCAAGGATTGGTAAGGCCAATGATCCAAATTATGACTTGAATAAGTTATATGATATATCCCTATTATTAATTTGAAGTCCTCCGTTCGTCTTACCCTCCCCATGCCTTTCTTCAGTTTTTCTAGCAGTGTTAAAGTAACTAGAAACTAGTTATTTTTGGCAGCAATTAAAAAATTAATAACACGGGTATAATGAGGTTAAATTCCTGAAAAAATTAGTTTGAATTATTAATATAATACACAATCCCGCCAAATATTTTATATGAAAAGAAAAACAAACACGAAAACGAAACATACGGTTGTGTTTTCAAAGGTTTCTCAATAAAGAATCAACTCAGGCATTATGACTGGGTGGTTGCCTGTTTAAACATTAAAATAAATATATAAATAAATTCTTACCCTCCATCTAAATGTTCTTTAAATACCCGGTCAAAAGCACGGCATAATTCTAGAATAGTGTACAGCTGGGCCTGATAAAAACAGAGAAATCTAGATAAATAACCTCATAGGAATTATTTCAACCTATATTTGTAGTAGAAAGCAAAAAATACTCCTCACCCCAGCATCAACAGCAACTGGTCTACCAAGGCGTGCCAACTCAGCTTCAAGCTCAGCTATGCTTCGATCAATTAAAGATGCAATCCCTGGAATCCGAGCTCTTATCACAGACTCTAAATGCTGGAACCAAATCAGCTTTGTAAGTAACCAACCAAGTAATTCTGAAGAGTTGCAAGAAGAAAACAAAAATAGCATAAACACATGCATGCCGCCCTTGCCCTCCCAACACTCTTAACTGCGTAACAGTACGATAAAAATTGAAACCTTTGAAAGAAGCTTCGCTAGATATTCCGATCCCATTTTGCTATGCAAGTGAGAGTAATCACGACTGGTGGCAAAAAATTCACGCTCCCGTTGCCGAGCAGCAATCATATCCACATTTTCATTAACATCTGCCTGAGAACGGTTTACAATTCCTACCCAAGGATTTTGAAGTCGATAAGATCTTCCCTCAAGGACCTACGGGAAGATCAAAATGGTATCATTAAAGGCCAATATGGAAAATTATTCTGTATCCGTATCAATTAAGATTCATGTAAAATCCAGACTAGGTTCTGCCACAGGCCAAAAAATATGATCTCAAGAGTTTACGACTGGGTGTGCTAGAAAAGCTAAGATTCTTACATCCAAAGCATTTGTTCCTCTGTCCATCAAATCAAGCTTTGTCAACACACCAAATGTTCTGTCGCCTAAACGAAGAACATTTTAACGCAATGTCAAGAAAAAAGCATAATAGCATAATGAAAATAAACGCATACAATTTGTATAGTTGAAACATAATCGTAAAAAAAATGCAGCAAGCACACCTGCAGGGTCAACTTGTCTGGAAACTTTTATGGCATCTGATGTTGCTATATCTTGATTTGCAGGAGTAATAGCTAAAATTAAGCAATTAGGCTGCCATGGAAATTTTATATATGTATATAAGTAATGGATAGATGCATAAGCTAAATGTGCAGTTAACTGAAACAATAGTAAATAGCTGTTAAATGAGGAATTAATTGGAAGGTTCAACTTCAAATTATTATCATCATTTTGCCACACATTCTAGGGCATATAATGTCAGAAAGGAAAAGATTATAAAGTCCAAATATTTAGAAATCAGAATGTGACCAACTCGGGGGGAAAATGGACCAATAAAAGATAAGTTAACCAACTATTGCCGGTCCTTTGCTTGCCGGTATTAGAGAAGTGATTTAAATTAAGATGGTGAACTTATTATATCATCTTCCAAAGACCGTTTATTCAACAACTTTTGAAAGTCGTCAAATAGCAAATAAAGGCAAGAAAAATGAAAGAAAAGCATTTCAATAAAAAAAACTACTTCAAGAAATTTTGAAATATGTCCCAATCAATTTTTCAACCTACTTCTTTATTTTTTTCAAACTTCAAAAACTGACAGGAAATTTGAAAATGTAATTTGTCTGTATGAAACTATTAATGTTTTTAAAAGAAATTATAGAAGAAAGTACGTAGAAATAGACATTGGGAGTAAGAGGATGACCTCGGTCATTCCCATTATCTTAAAATGATATTTTCTGTTCTCTTTTCAATCAAAGTAAACACAAAACATCAAATATTTAAAGAAAGAGCCAAGAGGGAATTCTTCTTGTAACAGTGTATATGACAGTACGCCTTTTAACTACCTTGTCAACATATGAGTGAATCATGCTTTCAATATCTTGAACAATACTTTCTGGCTGACCCTCTGACAAAATTTAAAAACTTTAACTTATTTATAGGTAAAAGGAAAGTGATAATATGAAATCCTTGCATATTTGAGAAAAAAGAATGAAAAGAAAGCGTACCTACGGCAACCTTTGTCAAACCAGGCAGATCTATCAGTGTTAGATTGACAACTACCAACAGAAAAGAAAAACCTTGAATATTGCAAAACAAAAAATGGAAAATCCACAATTCACATACAGACAGTAAACTCTCCCACACGCAGAGGCAGTGCAGTGGGGCACACATTCAATTCCCTTGAACAATTAGCATGGGTGATTCCTTGATTATTATATTAAACCTCTTCAGCCATCAGAAAGTTATTAGTGCTTGAAGACCTTAAGTAAGCATAATGCAATTCAATTTTAATATGATACTAATGGAAAAACACTGAATCATCCTTAATTGATAAGGAAGTCATTTAGCATGTAACTAAAAACTAAAAATATGGTATCAAATAAAGCAATGAATAGTACAAATAGCGATAAATACTATCAAGTTTTCAGGGTACACATAGAATTAGTAAGACTAATTGAATATCTATTGCAGATTGGTTACAAGAATTATGACAATAACAGCAAAATCCTTTTCCTACTAGAAAATTATATCCCAATACTATGAGGGGGGAAAATTATAAAGCAAGAAATACATAGCACCTGAATAAAATGTAAAATATAAATTATCTACCATTTGGGGAATAGATGCTGAGATGAATAGGAACAGGAGATATCTGTTTTGATTTCCCAGTCATTCTATCAGTTTCATCTTGGATTTCCTTTCGAACCATAGCTACAAAGATAACAAGAAATCAAACATTGAAAATAGTTTATATAAACGAGAAAGAATAATTATTACTTATATATTTCTGAGTAAACATCCTGAGAAAATAATGGGGGTGGGGGTAAAATGTAAAGTTTCTAAACCATATATTAGAAGATCCTCACCAGTGTCAACTTGCATTACAATTAACACAAAAGAAATATAACACTAGCGAGTAGCTACTAACATCATTTTATCAATTGGGACAACGAAGGAAACAAGCACCGCAATCAGTGGTACAAGGATAATCTTAGTAAAAATATCCTACACAGTCAAAAACATTGTAACTAGTGTGATAACTCACCACTTCAGAAAAACATCGAATGAGCTTTATGGAAAGCCTAAAAGAGGCTAATACATTGCGAGTTTAACATAGGCATGCAGATTAACATCAGCAAGCAATGCAAAAAAAGAATAAATACCTGTGAGAATAACAGATTGACAAGCTAAGGGGCCAAATGGCCGATTGATTTGAGAAAGTTCTTTCGTCTTAATTTTTTATTTTCACTCTTAATTATAAAAATGGTACGTTATTTTTATTCTGATTCTTTGTATAGAAAAAAGGGAAAATCATTTTCATTGTTTCTTATAAAACTTCCGGAAACAAATTAAAATGAAAACATCGTTGTATTTTTATAACAAAAAGTAGAAATAAAAAATATATATCAAACTAAATGGCCTTCAAAATTTACACAGATCAACGAAGCTACAAACACTACACTACATTATAAATTACATAATTTAAAAAAAAATAAAAAAGAAAGAAAGACATGCATGCAGCGCATGTGCTGTGTAGTAAAGGAACTCTTATTTCCGCAATCTTCAAATGGAAATTCAAAATCAAATAAGCATTGCATAAGGAGTCATACAGAAATCAGTAAAGCGTTTCTTTGGCAAGTGCAAAAACTCGGCATACTCTTGTTGTCCCTCCTCTGTGTTGTGCAGCTGTAGCACCAAAGGCCTCCGCGTCACAATCCCTAAACATCACATAAATGTAAAACATACAATACAAGCATTGTTCACGAGAAACGAAAAATAAATTTCACTGGATTTTTTTCTTACACTATTCAAAATATATCCTTCAATTTTCTTCTTCTACTAATTACGCAACCAAACAAATAAAAAACATGTTCGAAAATTTTTCCATTTCCACAGCAATCTCAATTTTCAGCAACCAAACAGAATAAATTATATATATATATATATATAAAAAAAAAAAAAAAGAATAATCGAATGAACGGTTAAACCAGTAACAATAAGCAACCTGATCCGCGGGGAAGAAAATCACGGCCGACAATGCTCTCTAACACTGAGGACTTTCCAGAACTCTGCGTTCCGTAAAAACCATAAGCACAGATAGCGAAACGCGTTAACAGAAGAATCATCCAGAATGTGAACGTGAACGGATTCAAAGAGGAAGAAAGCAAAGGAACGAAAAAGCGATGAGAAAACCTGGCCGCCGACGACGGCGACGGAGGGAAGTGCTTCCCAGAGAGTAGGCAAAGCAGCATCGCCGCCGTGATCGCCGAGGAGCGTACATGCACGCTGAATTCGGTTGACGAGTGCGATCAAGGAGTGCATGGTGGCCATTGGTTGTGGATGAGAGGGAGAGAGCGCAGGAGTGTAAGAGAGAAGGAAGAGTAGCAGAGGAAGAAGGAAGAATAAAAGAGGAAGAGGAAGAAGAAGAAGAAGGGAAGCTATTTTGGTTGTTTGTGTGTTTTCCGTTACGTGATTACTCTTTTCTCTCAGTTTTTAAATTTGGTTTTGTGTATGTGTTGGGCCACGTAAACTCGTCCTTGATAGTGGACTCGGGTCATTCACTTCGGAGCTGAACTTCTTACGCTCCTGCTTTCCAGTTTCAGATAAGTCAATTCATTTTTTTATTTATTTTTATTATTTTGACCCATCGCTTTCACGCTTTTGAATGAACTTCCTCCGGGCGGGATATTTTTTTTTTTTTTTTTAAAGCTTTTATATATACATATATTACGAGGTTTTTTTAATATGCTTTATACATATTATTTTTTTATCAAGAGTTACAGAGTTTAATATATTAATAATATTAAATATTATCTTTTATTAAAAAAGTTATTCTATTATACTCTGTGCTAAGAAGAACTAATATTACACACACTTTAACAAAACACGTTTTCAAACTTTTAACTCAGATTTTACTCAATTATTACCCTCAACAACTCAGAAGTCTAATTTCAAAATTTTATCTATGAAAATGTCTATTTAAACATCAAAAACTTTTTTTGAGTTCACTCTACAATATCATTTATTAACGTTATGATTGATTTGCGACAAGAATTGTAATATAGTAGTGAAGGAAAAAATCAACTTTTTATAGAGAGAAGGAAAGGGAGCAAGTGGGGACCATTGAAAAAATCCTCTCATTTGCAGATCATGCACAGGAAGTATTTAGTTTTTTTTTAATTTTATGTTAAAAAAAAAGAAAGAGAGAGAGAATGAGATTTTACAAGTTCTCATACACTATATATAACTCTAAATTACTCATTACTTTTCACTATGTTTGTAGTTATTTTTCCTGTTTGAATATATAATTATTAGGAGGACTAATCAAGTTACAAATAATCAGAATATGCATTAAAATTATATTGCTTTTAAATATTTATTGCTTAAAATTCATTAATCAAAATATTCCATCCATGCTCTTGTTGGGATTAATGAAAATAATACATCTTAAAAATTTAACATTGTTTTAAGGTATGTTGAAAGAAGTCTCACATCATCTGGGATGAATAAGAGAGTGGGTAAACAAGGCTATATAATGAGCCTAAGTTCATGGTATCAAAATACTCCAATCAGAAATATTTTAAGCTTGTATTTGACTTTTCTTATACTCTTGTATTAGTATGTTGTGAGGTTTAGTTTAATTACTTGCTTTAGAGAGTGTAGGTGTAATTGAGGTAAGGAAAAATAGTTTATGCATTATAAAAATTTTCATACAATGTTATTCTCTAGTTGTCATTAGACAATGATTGTGGTTTTTTCTCCGATTATTGGAGTTTCCACATTATAATATTGTGTTATTGTTTTTATCTTATTTTTCTATTAGAAGGATAATTCTCAAGGGATAAAGGTGATGGTTCAGTAGGATATTCTTAATATGCTTTATAGTTGCAGCTTAGTCTAATCTTTCACATCAGAAAAGATTAATTCCTTGTTGGAGAATCATCCTTTGTGGTTAAACTTACAATGTTATTTGCAAGTGCTGTCAAATGTGACATAGAGAAATTTGATGGAAGGATCAATGATTACACATAGGTGTTAGCTAACACTGATGCAGGGTGTACGGTAATTGTACAGGGCATTGGTTGGCATTGATGCAAAACGTGCAATAATTGTACAGGGTGTTGGCTAACATTGATGTAGGGTGTGCAGTGAAAGAAAATTCTTTGAGTGGTTTAATTCCAAGTGAGTATAATGGTGAAGTATGATTGTCGGTATAGACAATGATTGCTGGTATAGACAATGAAAATGAAAGATGTGTCTATTTTAATCATGGTGGAGATTGTTAGGATTGATAAAAATAATATATCTTGAAAATTTCACATTGTTCAAGATATATTGGAAGAAGTCTCACATCACTTAAAATGAACAAGAGAGTGGGTAAACAAGGCTATATAATGAACCTGAGTCCATGGTATCAAGACTAGGGATAAAAATAGACTAGGCTAGGTTAGGTTTTGCATAAACAGGTCTGGCCTGATTAGTAATTTTGAAGCCTGAGTCTGACCTATCATAGACTTTTTATTAAGTCTAGCCTGACCTTTTTAAAAGCCTAATTTGGCCTATTAGCCTTTTTAACGGCCTATTTTATATTGAAACATTCAATATGTCTTTGTAAATAAGCTATTAAACTATCTAAATAGATATGTCTTTTTAAAAGTCATAAGACTTATATCTAAATAAATTATTAAAAAAAAAATTTATTCAATACTTTGAATATGTATAATAAAATTACATATTCCTATTTATTACTTTCAAACTATATAGACATATTTGAAACAACGCAATATAAATCATTATTATGTTATGCATATAAGATATGCAAAAGACTCCAGCAAATAGAACTTGACTCTAGCAAATAGGACTCTTTATCTTATAGGGTATGTAGTAGAGACCTTCTTCAACTCAACAAAAATAATTAAAGTTTTTAATTTAAGATTTTATTATTTTAAAATTTAATTAATTAATAGCATTGAAATCCATTTTTATTGACCAATTAGAATTGCTTCCTAAGATCTATAATTGTCTCAAAAGATCAAATATTCATACATTATTAGAACTTTTCTCTCTTAAAGAGTATATAGTAGAGACCTTATTTAACTCTAACAAAAAAGATTAGAGTTTTTAATTTAAGATTTTATTATTTAAAAATTTAATTGAATTAATATATTATTATATTATAATTTTTATATAAAATTATTTAATATATTATTATAAATTTTAAATAGGTTATTCTAATAGGCTTTTTTTTAAGCTCAAGCTTGACCTATTTAATTAATTAGGCTTTTTAAAAAGCTTATTAATTAAATAGGTTAGGCCAGACTAGATTTTAAAAAAGCTAGGCCATATGCTCATGTTAGACGGCCTGACCTATTTTCATCCTTAATCAAGACACTCCAATTGTGAGGTTTAATTTAATTACTTACTTACTTTAAAGATTGTGAGTATAATTGGAGTAAGGAAAAATAGTCTATACGTTATAAAAATATTCACATAATTGTCATTATACAACTATTATGGTTTTTTCTCCCGTTTTTAGAGTTTCCATGTTATATTCTTGTATTATTATTTTTATTCTCAAGGCGTAAAGGTAATGTCTCTTTTCTTTTTTATCCACCAGCTAATAAGAATTTCAAAATTCTGACAAAATTATACCAATTAAAAAATTAAGAGACTAAATTTGATGAAAAAATTACCAAAACCTGAAATTGCACATTGATTATAACACAATAATTAAAAATATACAATTAAAAATAATACTTATTAACATTTGTTTCAAATTCATGACAATAACAACTTTTTTAATTCAATAATTCCCACGTTTGTATGAAAACAAAATCAAATAAATAATTATATAATTCTTTTTGAAATATATAATAATAATAATAATAATAATAATAATAATAATAATAATAATAATAATAATAATAATAAATTAAAGACGTTTGAAAGACATAAATACAGAAATAATTAAATACTCTTGTAATAAATTTATGTGAACATTTTTTAAAAAGTAGCATGGTTTTATTTTAAATATATAAAACAAAATATTAACTTCAACCAAAATATTCAAATTGCATAATATCAATTCTGTATAAAATTCCTTTAAATATGTAAACAAAATAATGTCATTTTATTCACAAAATAATCTGAAATAAATTGATATAGTAAAAAATATTAGTTTTACGTAGTTTTATGAAAAAATCAAATGAAAATTTTGGGGACAGAATTAAGAACCGATTGAAAATTTTGATCAATATATTTAGGGCGCCAATCAGACTGGCTATTTTGTTGACTGTAGTACCTATTGACTCTTCTCATGCATTGTTTCACCCTTTTTATTTTTATTTATTTTTATCTTTTTTAATTTTGCCTTCATCAGATATTAAATATAGCTTTTGTTCGACAAAGTAAATAAAATTTTGAAAATATTCATCTGTGTAAATTTTTATAACCTATTACATTTTTCAACATGATGAGAAGTACAAAAATGAAAAATTTTAAAGAAAATGAAATTAAACATGGAGGTGCTCATTAACTTTTCGTAAAGGCAAAAAGTTAAATCTTTTTTATTTTTCTGAAAGCTTCATTTAATACACAACAAAGTCAAACATACTTAATAGATCGTATTATCTCATAAATATATTGTCAAAAACTTAATTTTTAATTATGTATGTGAAAAAATTATTAAAAAAGATAAGACTCCCTTGAATAATTTTTACTTGGTCTTTGACTATTGACTAAAAATTACGTTTAATACATAAAAAAAAACTTTATTTAACACATTTTTAAGAATATGTTTATTTAATCATTTAGATTGTATCCTTGCCGCTACATTGTTTATTTATGTTTTTCTTAAATTTAAGTACTTATTTATTTGAATTAATTATACATATTTATCTTATTATTTTACACTTTTTATTTAATTTATTTTTAAAATTTCCTTAAATTTAAATAGTTATACATTGTATGAAACACTTGTGTTAATGTATTATTGAACTCAAACAGCCCAAAAATAGTTTTCTACCGCTTCAATTAAAACTGTTCTTAAACTAAATATATAAAAAAAAGATTTCCATATTGGACAGCGATTTTCAGCCACTGATAAATAATTAACAATATCTATAATGGATAATTTTGAATTAAATTATTTTTATAATTATTTAATCCATGAAATTAGCAAATGTCGAGAGTTTTTCGACCATTAATAAATAATTAACGATATTTATAATAGATAATTCTGAATTAAATCATTTTCATAATTATTTAATCCATAGAATTAGCAAATATCGAGAAAAGGATATATATATACGGAGAGCCATGGTTTCCTATTTTTAAATTCATTATATCTTAGATTATCTAAGTTTATATGCCCCCTCAAAGATAGTAAAAGTCCCATATTATAAACTTATGTTTCAAGATAGTTACTTTAATTTACCTTAAGATTTACGATAAATACACGTAGAAAAATATAATAAGCACACCTTTTAAAATATATTTTATTAAAAAATATAGAAACTTTACGTTTTTCACTTTTTATTTAACATTTTTTATATTTTTATAATATTTAATAAATTTAACTACGAACAAAAATATATATTAAAAAGAACTGCATTTTTAGCATTTCTCCGGTATTTTAGAATTTTTTGGCTTTGTTTGTATTAAGTTGTCTGATCGTTTAAAGATTGCTCGTAAAATTTTATTTTAAAATCTTAAACTTTTTTAAATATTTTTTTTAAGATATAATTATAGGAAATATTTTTTTCAAAAACATTAAATGGCCACATTAAAATTAAAATTTGCAATGATGGTTACAGTACATATAAAATCACTTTAATTAATTATCGAGTCTTCAAAAATTATTTTCACGGGATAAATGAATTTTGAAAAGTTTGGACAAACCATTTATTCTATTACAGTATTAAATTTAAAGTGAAACTTTATTTTTAAGGGTGGAAATAACATAAAACAAATTCTCTACTATAATTGATTAATGTATCACAAATTTGTAAAAATATTTTCTATTTTTAGAAAAATGTTATAATGTTTTTAGTTTAACGTTTTTTAAAAAGTTAATAAAGTAGAAATAATATTTTGTTGTTGTTGTTTTAGTGATTTATATCAAAACATTGAACACAAAAAATTAAATGATATGTTTATAATGATTTGTGAAAAAAAAAGAAAGAAGAAAATCAACCTAAAACCTATCCTTATGCTCTGAATTACCTTTGATAATAATACGAAGTTATGTTGGGATACTAAAAAAGATACAAGGCATAAATCACAACGGCAACATCATCCTTGTCTAAGCTCTAGTCTTGACTCAATTACTAGACAGATTTGAACATAATTTAATTTTATGTCCATTAATTGCATGATCAAATTTCTAGCTCTCCCTTTGAAACCTCAATGTCATAACTTTTTTGCTTGACTTTTTGGTCATCTAGATAATGTTGATACATATAGGACAGAAAGCCCCATACAGCTAACAACAAGGCTATAACCTTCACCCCTTTGATTTTGTCATGAAAGACCATGACTGCAAGAATTGGTGTTATGGGCAATTCTAGGGTGCCTATTACAATTGAGAATAATGAAGATACCTCAAAAATCAACCCTAACATACCAATAGAGGATATTTGCCATGTCACAGCAATCCAAAGTAGAGTCATTACATATGACATCCTACCCTTTTCATATTCCTTCATCTCCTTATCCAAAAACTTCCATTCTCCACTCACAAACAATCCCACAATGCAAGCACATGTGGCAATCAAGGATGGGTACAATTGCATGTCCAACACAGCAGAAAAAGTTTCTCTCTTTATAATTTTCTTAAAACAAAGTTGCACAAGAGAGAGATGTAAAGAAAACGTGGCAGATGCAGCAAGGGTGAAGAAGAATCCAATTATAAGCTTTCCTTTGGGAATACCCTTTGTGTCTTCAGAGTCATCATATATTGCAAGCAGGGAAACTGAAATGGTAAGGAGGACTATTGAATTGAGTATGAAAAATGTGAGCTTTTGAGAATTCAGGAAGAAAGAGAACAAAGCATTGAAGGCTAATTGGGTTGCACATATTATAGAATAGGTTGAAAGAGGGAGATATACTAGTCCATAGGAATACATCAAGTCATTCCCTGTCATAAGTAAGCCAAAAGCTAGGTACAAGGAAAATATGATGGGGAGTTTTGGTTTGGTTTTGGAGGAATCATTATTGGCCATGTTTTCTAATTTGGCTTGCGATGGTAAGTACAAAAGGAGTGGAAGTAGTAAAGGGAATCCAGCTGATTGAACAAATGTTGCTATCCATTTGCTATTGCCACCTTTGTTAAAATATAACCTTCCCAATAGAGTGGCTGTAGATTGGCCAGCCAGAAGAAAGATTGTGTAAAGGAATACATTCAACCACCGTTTGTATTCTCTGAGTCTTGGATGTTGTTGAATATTAGTCATGTTTGTATGCAAGTTATTCTGCACTTTGCAGTGTTCTAACTCTAAGAAATACATAAAAGAAATTTACATAATTATGTTCATTTCTTTCCTACATTCTTCGGAATTGATTACACTTCAAGTCTTGAGAGGAATGTTGGAGATAACTTTTTGGCTTTTTCACCACGATAATGCAATTTTAAAAGTTATTTAAATATTAATTTTTTTTCTTATTTTGATTAAAACTTGAATTTAAATAATTTTTTTAATGTTAAACTTTGATTAAAGTGAAAGAAAAACAAAATTTTAGATTTTGAATTCACACTTCAGTGAGAGAAAAATTAAAATGTAAACTTTAATTTCAAATCTATGTTAAAGAAAAGAATATTAAATTTAAATTTAAACTTAAAGAACATGGAAAAGAAACTAAAATTGAAATTTTAATTTTAAATTTTGGTCAAATGAGAAAAAAATTTAAATTTACATTTAAAATTCAAACTTTAATATTAAAAAGAATATGTGACGTGTTAATTTTTAATATGTAGAAAAAATAAATTTTAAATGCTGGTGTGTCACTTACTTAATACTTTTTAACGTTATTAAATTCACTTATTTTAGTAATTAGATTTAAAATCACATTATTTTAGTAAATAATTTTTTAAATTATATTATTGTGATTAAATAGCTCCTACTTCTTACTTAAGGTTACGGAAGAGGTTGCTCCAAATATTTGAATACTAATTAATAGAATTCGGCTGAGTTGAATTATTAAATCATTATTTAGGCCATTAATTTATTATATAATCGTTTACACTTATACTTGGTTTTCTTTATTTACATATCCATTGACTCTTTTGTTCCTCAATCATTATTTCACTATTTTTCTTTTATGAAAATAAATTTTTGGTTTTCATGAAAAGTTATGCAATGAATCGGTCCTCAACTAAAAAAAGTTATATTTTATCCAATATTATGATGTGTTATTTTTTAACTTCTCATTGTATAAATAAAAAAAAATCAAAATATTCATCTGTGGAATTTTTTTGTTGGTCAGAACTTTGAAATACTTATTTGATTTAACCAATGGACAGTAAAAAGTTCCTAGCCAAATATTTATTAAAAGAACTGAAATTAGATAGGATATATTCAACAACTTTTCATAGATTTTTTTTCCAACAAAAGTGTCTTTAACATTTTTTATTAAGTTTAATTTTAATACACCCTTAATATAAAAACTTTACACGGTTAATTAATTAAAATGCATAATCAATGTGACTTTTAAATTAATTACTATAAAAATTAATGATATTTCCTAATATAATAATTTATTATTGGATGATAGTACAAAATATATTTACACTCTCAGTGCATTTTTAATTAATTTTTTTACTATATTTAAAAAATATTTAAAAAATCTGTAAAAGATAAAAAGATAGTTATTTCATCAAATTAAATGAATCTAAACAACTTAGTTCTAGTATGTTGGTAACCTGTGTTTTTATTTCCAAAATATTCACTTTTATAAAAATAAATACCAATCATTATTCTTCATTTAAAACAAAAATAAAAATATTTATTAAGAATTTATTATATTTAAAACATAAAAATTAGTTAATACTTATTTTTACATAATTTTAAACAGTTAATAAAACATATTAAATACTCTTAAAATTATTTTGTGCAAAAATTATTTTAAAAAATAAAGATAAATCTGAAAGAAAATATTAATAGTTAATTTTGAATAAGTTAAATATTATTTGAATTAAATTTTCATAAGTTAACTTTTCATAAATACAAAATCCTTTATTTTTTCAATAAATAATTTTACTAGCTTATTAATTTAAAAATAAATTGTAAACTTGTTTCACTGAACACACTCTCTATGAGCTGCTATTTCCATGGATTCTTCAACTCTTAATGCAATATTTCACGTATAAGTTTTGTAGTTTTCTTATTCTTCAATGAAAAGTTGTTAAATATGTGCATATTTAATTTTATATTTTCAATAAATATTTGCCTGCGTAGTTTATTTATTATGTATTTGTTAAATGAAATAACTTTCCAAACAATATTCAGCCCTGTAATTTTCATTGCTCTTTCTTTTTTTTGAAAAAAAAATATTTAATTCAACCAATGCACAAAGAAAAAGTTCACTACTGAATTTGTTAAAAATAATAAAATTAGGTAATCAATGGCTTTTTCTTAGTGCCTATGAGTGTGATAGAAAATATTAAAAAAATGTTAATAAATCTCTCTTTCGTATTCTTTTTAAACTATTTTCGTTAAGTATAAAAATCTAAACAATATAATTTTGAATTAAATTACATTCATATATACTTATTAAATAAGCATTTCTTTAAAAAAAAAAAAAAGGTAACATTTACGTAATCTTTTCCTAAAAATACTTTTCAATTATTAAGTATTATAGATCATTTCTTAGATGTAGTGAATTCCCACTGTATATATACTCACTTGCTTTTATAAACTGTTTACATTTTTTCTTTATTTATTAATATATTTAACATTTACACTAATTTATCATCATTGTCGTATTACTAGTATTACTGATCTTTAACTTTTTCAAAAATTAATAAAAAACAATTATAATAAATTTAAATAAAAATATTATATTCAAATTTTGATACTAATTCTCTTATTATCCAAATAAAAATATATATTAAAATATAAAGATATGTAATTAAATTTTAATATTAAGACAACCATATAATATGCATATCAAATATTCTGTTACAATTCACAAAATTGTAAGCATCATCACCCTTGTCCAGGCCCTCGTCTCACAAAATTCAACTTCAAAAGAGATCGCTATAACATCATCAAAAATTGGTCCATCCCATTAGCAAATTTCTACCTCACCTTTTGAAACATCAAGACCATCACTTCTATCTGCCTTGGCTTTTTTATCATCAAGATAATGTTGATAGAGATAGGAAACAAAGCCCCACACTGCTAATAGCAAGGCTATAAACTTGACCCCATTAATCTTGTCATGAAAGAACACAACTGCAAGAATGGGAACAATGGGCAAAGCCAGGGTACCTATTACATTTGAGAATAATGAAGATACCTCAACAATCAACCCTAGCATACCAATAGAGGATATTTGCCATGTCACAGCAGTCCAAAGTAGAGTCATTATATATGACACCCTACCCTTTACATATTCCTTCATTTCCTTGTCCAAAGTTTTCCATTCTCCACTTGCAAACAATCCCACAACACAAGCACAAGTAGCAATGAATGATGGATACAATTGCATGTCCAACACAGCAGAAAAGGTTTCTCTTTTTATAACTTTCTCAAAAGAAAGTTGCACAAGAGAGAGATACAAAGAAAATGTAGCAGATGCACCAAGGGTGCAGAAAAATCCAATTATATGCTTTTCTTTGGAAAGACCCGTTGGGCCCTCAGACTCAGCATGAACTGCAAGCAAGGAAGCTGATATGGTAAGGAGGACTACGGAATTGAATATGAATGCTGTGAACTTCTGGGAATTGAAGAAAAAAGAGAATAATGCATTGAAGCCTAATTGGGTTGCACATAGTAGAGAATAGGTGGAAAGTGGTAGATATAGTAGTCCATAAGAATACATCAAGTTGTCCCCTGTCAAAAGTAAGCCAAAAGCTATGTAGAGGGAAACAAGAGTGAAAAATTTTGGTTTGGTTTTGGAGAAATCATTATGGGGGTCATTAGTAAATTTGGCATGTGTTTGTGTTGGGAAGTAAAAAAGGAGTGGAATTAGTACAGGGAATCCAGCTGATTGAACAAATGTTGCCATCCATTTGCTATTGCCACCATTATCAAAATATAACCTTCCCAAAAGAGTGGCTGCAGATTGACCTACCAGAAAAAAGATTATGTAGAGGGACACACGAAACCACCATTTGTATTTTCTGAATCTTGGATGTTGAGGTTGGTGAGTCACACGTGTGGGTCTTTGAGACACTTTTCTGTCATCTGCTAAATACATAAATAGAAACTGATATTAATTCTATGACTCTTTCTAACTCAATTAGAACTAATTTAAAGTAAAGTTGGATGCCAGAGATAGATTTTTTCGCCAAGAGGTTCCTCCATATTATTGTTCTAAATAATAAAATTATTTCTTTGTATTGAAATTGGCATAAAAGACATGAGATCTGAAATAAACAATCTCTAACATTTTGAAAGTTACATCCGCTAGATATTGAAATGGGACACGACCATATTATTAGCCAATTGCTAGTAACATTTCTCTAGGGCTTAGTAAGAGGTGGATCGGCAAAACACAGTGAGCCTCATCTCATCATCATATACCCTTTTTCCAATAATAGCTAACAATAACAAAGAATCCTACTAAGAAGAACATAGCGGTTCTCACGCACAAGGCAAAAGGACGAGGATTTTTAGGAAACAGTAAGAATTATGTTCCTTTTGTTGTTGTCTATTTATGTTTCAAGAATAACCAAGCAAGTTCCAAGTCCAAAAAATTGGTGATATATATATATATATATATATATTTAAAAAAAATTAAGAAGCGAGTGTGATATTGAGAAGCTAACCTGTATTATGTAGGTGCTGCTCTTGAGCTATCTCCATTAAAAAAGAGTAAGGAGTATGATTGGGATAACATCAAGATTTAAAGAGCATATCTGCGCAGCCGAATTTGAAGTTCCTTTATATGAAGAGTGAACATAGAAGTCATTTTACAGCCGACAAAATAAACTTTTTTCTATTTTTTGGTCATGATGAAATAAAAGTTTTGACTTCATTAACTTCATGGTTGGACTTATGTGGCTCACATTATACACTTATTTGGAAGTTTTGCCTTGGAAATTACAGTAAAATTCATACATTTTTAGTAATTTAACCATAATGCCGTTGCGTGCCCAACGTTCTTTCTCTTAATTTGTTGCTGCCACGCAAATTCGTTGTCTGATTCGTTTGTATCGTATGTTCTCAATGACATTGCCCTTTGCATTGTGATACGCATTATGGATTAATTTGAAGAAATATTGTTTTATTTCCAAGATATAAAGAAAATCATATATTATTATTATGTTTATTATTATTATGTTAATATTCATTTTATTTTTTGAAACTGTAAGCATTGATTATTTAGTCTTTTTAACTTTATGAAACTTTATTTTATTTTTAATATTTTAAAAATTATTCACTCTCGTCATTTTTTTATTTCATCTTTTATTTTCATTTTATACAAAAGGTTTAAAATAAAATTATTTTATACCATAAGAATTAAAATATATTTTTTTTGGTAAAATCAAGAGTTAAAATAATTAGGCGAGGATTAAAAATGAATATTTACTATTATTGTTCCGGATAAAATACGTCAAGACCCAATCACCCAAGCGCTACTGGTTTGTCCAACATGATTTGGATTGAGGATACAACTTAGGCCCAATATACTAATAAGTTTTGGGAAATTTTCTATTTACACTGCAATTTCTTTTTAAACACATCACCCCCTCTTTTTGTATTTTTCAGAAATACGATTTTCACTGTATTAATTACTTTCCAGAATTAAATTTCAAAAAATATTTTTGAAAATTATTTTCTGAAAGGGTGGTGTAGAAAGAAAATTTCTAAGTTTGGATTACACAAACACTGAACATACTAGAATTAGAAGATCCCAACATCTATCTACCCTTCTTATACTAGGGATTCCAAAATATAGTAAAGGATTATAATACAGTCCAATAAATTTAGCTTAATGATACAATTAAGTAAAATTTTACACTATCGTCAATTAAGGATTCAAAAGGAAATAATTGTTGTTCCAACAAAAATTACAAAACATATACTAAATACGTTATTAATCTGAGAATCTTGACCATGAATTTATAATTTGGGGACAATGCTTTAAAATTTTCAGTTTTCTGTATGATCCGGTTTAAAATTTTGCCTTGTTCAAAATTAGTTTTCATCCGTAATAAAATGAAGGATTTTTTTTTATCGACGTCCGTTTTAAAGATTAATTTTAAGAGATTTATAGTGAAAATTTTATTAAAAAACCTACGTACAGTAGAAATATAAAAGTGTTATATTTTATTTTTTTAATAAAATAATTTACTTTTAGTTACTGATATTAATAAAACTATAAAATAAAAGTATCATAAACGTATTGTTTTAAATAACTGTGCTGTTTATAGGAATGAAAATAAGTTAAGTCATTACTGATTTGAATACACAACTTAATTAAGTGTTTATATATTGATTTTTTAAAGAATAGCTTATATTATAAATTTAATCATAAAAATTACTAAAATAAACTTAAAATGATTTATTTTAATAAGTTATATGAAGTTTATATATAAAAAAAAAATCCTAAATATCATAAACTATTTTCATAACAAACTCTTTTAAACAGATTCTTAATTTATATCAAATTTAGATTACACTGGACCTATCACTGAATAAATCATGTTAAAACTTTTTAAAATTGTGTTTTGTTAAAAATCTTAGCTTTATGGCCATCCAAAACAAAGTTTGAACCATAACAAGTTAGTCCATTAAAAACATATAACATTAACATTTTATTATAGTTTATATTGGTGTTGTTATTATATTTTGATATTATATATGTTTATTTTATTTAAAATATTAAATTTATTGATCTACATGTAAATATAAGTACATTAACTAAGTTCCTGTTTTAGTTTTAAGTAAAATAGAATTGATTTTGAAGAAATTAATTTTAAATTGTTGAACATGATATATATATATATATATATATATATATGTGTGTGTGTGTGTGTGTTTAGAAAGTATGATAATTAGATTTCTAATTGGTTTCCAAATAAGCATTAAGAGTAGGTACTTTTAACTTATATAAAAGTATCATTAAAAAGTAGATTTTTAAATATTGTTTATTTTCACGTTAACAATAAAGATTAATATAAAATATTTTTTCCCTTTTGAAATGCCTCCATTAACAGATTGTCACATTTTCGTGTGTCTGTTTTAATCACAAATTTGAATTTGAAGGATTTTTTCAATGCTTAACTAGACATATTTTAAATAGACTTACAAGTTTAAAAACTTAAAGCCAACTCATATTAAATAAATATATCAAGTTTAGTCAAATAAAGTTTACAATACTTAACGTTATCTAATCTTTATCTCCTTCTACTTATCCATGTGGCAAACTATAAATTAAACAAATGTCATTTTACTTTCATACAATTCGAAAAAGAAGTTTTATTGGTAAAACTAGCTTGTACAATTTTTTATGTAACAATAAAAAAAATAGAAAGAGAAAAATTGTAGGATAAAACATTGTTGCTATTTTAAGTTATAATAATAAATAGAAAGTTTACTTTTAAGGTAGTTTTGGTGCCTTGTACAAGATTTTCATTGCAGCATGAACAACTAACCGAGTCTTCTACATAACATATCCATGAGTGAAAACGGAAAATTCAGCAGTATCTCAGAGAAAAAAGATGCATATAATAAAAGATAAAAGCTTAAACACAATGATAAGATGCAAGCAAGATGCCTCATTCTTCAACCTACATTAAATCATCTTACTCCTCTATATATAAAAGTACATTAAATTCCTATATAGATTTGGATGCATCTCAAAGTATACTGTAATCATCTTCGCCATTCATCCGAATGTAACACATCATGGCTAATACAAACACAAAGAAGGAAGAGAATTCCATAGCAAGGGCTCCCCAACCAATAACTCCAGAATGCTTTAAAATGGTTGGAATGGCAATGCTTCCAACAGCTGAAGCTCCAGTTAAGAACTTGGTTGCATTCACCCACCTCCATCATTCATCACACCATAAAATAAAATTGAATGACTAAAACTTCAGATCTTTTTTACCTTTTGGTTAATTATTTGTTCAGTGGAAAGTTGAAGATTTACCTGCTATCTGATTCAGAAAATAAAGAACTTTCAGATCCCGCAAAGAACAGCAAAGGCATTGGAAGAAGAACATATGTTATGGCTGCAAGAGGAAAAAAGAAAGATGTAATAGCAGGAGGAGTTTTTTCTCCTTTCACATAAGAATCCTATATATATATATATATATATATATAAAACATATTAGAATCAGATTCAATGATACTTTATCTCACCGGTTATCATTGGCCACCAATTATTATACAAGGCACATGCCTGCCACATAGAACAGATACAAGTTAGTAATAAGTAAATTTTTTATTAAGTTTCAGTCTTTAAAATTGAGTTTTTAAGCTTGTAATAAGTTTTATTAAGAAAAAATACATAGTTATATTAAAGTTATAAAAGTTAATAAATGTTTGTTTTTATAATAAAATGTTACTATTATGAGGTGTTGAAATTCAATTTTTACAACTAAGATTAACAGATTTATTTTTTATTAATAAGATGTCTCTAGTGACATTAATACATACCAACAAGGAGAAAAAAAAAAGAAATACTGACCAAAATTTGCAAGACGACTCCTCCGGAGACCAAAATTGCCAGAAGGACAAGTTTCCCTGTGTTTAAGCAGTAACGAAAATATCCTGGTAACTCTGCCATCTCCAATTCACCTCATTCTATGAAAATGAATAGCTGGAGTAAAACATAATAACATGATGCTATGAGAGAATTAGATAAGAAGAAAATGCTAAATGAACAAGCAATTCTAACGAATACATAAACGGTCATAGTTGACATTTGACAACAAACAGCACTTTGTCTATTATGAAAATGTGATACATCTCAACTCAAATATGTATTACACGCTACCTGTAATTAATGATGTCAAATAAAGAATGAAAATCTCAGTTTTTGAGAACCAGCGCAAGTAATCAATCCTAAATTCCCAACTTGGTTTAAAGCTTATCTATCATCCTATAGTCTCCCCTAAACAATAAACAACTAAGCCCTAAGAAGCGAATCCAGTAGAATAAGTGAAGAGATATTGAAAAAGTGAGCAACAAAATGGAACAAAAAATGGGATAACTTAACAGACAGAACAGAAAAATGTTGGAGGGCATGTACTACAAAGATATTGACAACGAGACAACTTGAAAATTTGGTGTCTGAAATGTAAATCTAAATCTAAATCCTATGTATTTTGGGTTAGACAACAGCTAAGGTTTTGAAACTCGGATACAACCACTTTATCAGCATGCACCTACCAGTCAGATTCGGTTACACAGTGCCATTAATAATTTTATTTGTTCATCACATATAAAATAATTTTCATTTATCATCAATGAGGTAGTAATACTATATTAGTATATTAAGAATAAAAAGGCATTCAAAATGAAGTATTAAAATAGTAATTTACCAGCATTGTTCTTAAAACATAAAAGAAAAGAAGTAGCAGTATTCGTAAGATAGAATATAAAAGCACCAGAAGAAATAACTCATAGGCTCAGTTTAGATATATTCTGTAATAAGTATATATTCATAGAAATTAAAAATTAAATAGTAAAATAAATTCAAAAAATTATATATTAAAATTATTTTATACGTTTGTATTTTATTATAAGCTCTCTTATTTTAATTTATAAAATTTAAGGAGTATAAATTACTTTTAGCTCATGAAAAAATTTATTTATTTATTATATTAATTTTCTCTTATAATTATTTATTTTAAAACTTACCTAAACTGTACCATATGATAGGTTTCGCAATATTTTTTTTCTTAACTAACATTTTGGTCTTAAAAAATATAATTTTGATTTATCTCTTTATTGTGAATTTTTTTCATATAAAATATTTTTTGTTGTTAAATAATTCTTCGGTTAATCTTTTGCTTAAAAATTGTTGACGCTTTGACTAATGGGTTACTTGGAATAAACGTGTGTTATTTTTATCGAAACTTCTTTCTTAGATTTGTCTAGTTCTTCAAGTTGGGGTTACAATAGTGTCATAATTTTCTGTGCTGCTTATCGTATTGCCACTGTTTTCCATATTCTGTAATGTTGCTGTCAGTAATAAGATAAAATCGAATCTTTTCTTTATCTGTTTGGGTTTATGTTGGGACTTGGGAGAGATACGACAGCCCTATTTAACCTGATTTTGTGCAACTATGCTCCATCAAACTTGTTCTCAAAGATTGTTTGGGATCGTTCCATTCGTTTTTTGGATGCAGCTTTTCGGGGATATTATATCAGTCTTGTAATCAGATACCTACGGCTTAATACTTTAAATAACGCTTTTTAAATTACTAATTATTAAAATAAAATAAAAAAATAACTAATTTTCTGTTTAGAATAAATTTTTATTAAGTCAGCTTATATTTCACGTAAAAGTTAAACAAATTTTTTTAAATTTTTTTTTAATTCATCTAAAAGAAGAACAAGATTCTCCAAAAAAGCACACGTATCAATAATTTTATATAAAATAAAGATAAAATGTATTAATTTAGTTTATTAAACATAAAAAAAAAATTATATTTAATAAAGACAAAATTGTATGACGATGACAAATGTTCACATCTTGTTAAATTTTTCTTCATTTAACAACAATAAAAAATTAAAATGCCTACACATAATGGAAAAGACAGTTCTTGATTGATATATCCATAATGCAAAGGATAAAAAAGTGGTTGATCAAAAGTCTTCAACCACATCACGTCCTTTCATACGGGGGGGGAGGGGCTTAAAGCCCAAACAACTAAGGCAAGGGCTTTAGGCCCCCAAATTTTTTTTAGTTTAATATATTTTTAAAAAATTTAAAAAAATAATATTTAATAAGTTGTAACTCTTAATCAATAGATAATAATTTTTTTTAATTTATTTTTAAAAAAATAATTGAATAGCAAAAAAAAACTAAATAATTTTTTACTTTTTATTTAATTGTTACTTTTTTCTTCTTTTTTTCTCTAACTATTTTTTTTGTTTTTTTTTTCAATTTTGCTTCAATTTGTATTTTTCTTACTATAATAATAGCTTGAAGTGGAATAAAAAGAGAATATTCATAGTGCAAGTGGATGAGAAAGTAAAGTCTTTTATTTTTCTAATGTAAAGGCACTCGTACGAAGCCTTCCATTTTTTCAAGGTAGAGGTACTGCTTCCCTCCATGACTCAGCCTCCATTATCCACACTTATCAAACAATATTTTACATTTTTTCTGCAAAGCTGTCACTTCTAGAGGTGCAAAAACTGCAAGTGTCAAGTTTATTTTCTTGACAATCAGATTTTATTGTTTTAATCTAGTCTTATTTTATATATTTATATTTCATACATGCAGATATTTTTTGAATGAACAAGATAACAATAAAGATATAGGTGAAAACAACAGTAGAGAAATAGTTAATGAAAAAGATAATTTTGATTCTAAAACTCATGATAACGAGGAGAAATAATTTTAAAGTCACTAGATAGTATAATTTGAAAAGAAAAAATACCTAAACCTTGAAAAATATTTGAAACATGATAATTTCTTAAATATTGATGGATTAAATTTATTTTCAGAATTAAATATCTTAAAAGAAATTATAAAATTGAAAAATGATAAACAAATCGACATTCTCAATTATATAAAAAGAATAATTTTTTTTCCAAATACATATATAGCTTACAAAATAATGTTAACAGTTCCAATATCAGTTGCTTCGGATGAAAGAAGTTTTTCAAAATTAAAATTAATAAAAACTTATTTAAGATTAGTAATATCTCAATAAAGATTAAACGAATTAGCTTTATTATCTATTAAAAAAATATTAAATAAAATTAATTACGACAATTTTATAAATAATTTTGTATCACAAAAAGTTTAAAAATAAATTTTAAATAAAATAATAATTTTTAAAAAATTTATTTTATTAATAAAAAAAACCTATTTTTAAAATTTACTTTAGCCCTAAAAACTCTCAAGCTGCCACTGGTTACTTGGACTAAGCTTTGTGCTGCAAACATTGGAAGGTTACAAAAGTGATAGTAAAATCATCAATGAATGCAGGTGTCAATGAAATTAACACTATTAATTAAGATTTTTACCACTTGCTTGAAAATTATGTACATTCTATTATTGGTGTTAAGAATCAACAATAATTGACAAGAAAAAGGCAATAACGTAATATCAGAATATATGCGTTTGATGAATGATAAAGAATATGCATTATGTCATTATCAGTTCTAGTCTCTTCAATTTAGGTTTCAATCTCAGACAGCAGCAAGTAGTGACTGACGCTAAAAATGTTATAGTAAGATAGCACATGGCAGGATAATTGCTATTTAAAATTTTATATACAGATTAAATAATTTATACTATATATAAATGCTAAATGATTTAAAAGAAAAATTAAAAATTCATGAGATATTCATTATTAAAAATAAAAAGCCGCAACTCTTAAATAAAACATACAAGTAAATAAATAACAATAAAAGAAAAAAAGAGCCCAAAACAGTGCATCCACTAAGGAAGCCGTTTATAACTGCTCCACTATTCAAATTATACAATGCAGCTCCGCTTTGCTGCTATTAATAACTATGCCATATCTTAGAAATGACTTTAGTTGCGGAGAGAATTAGCCTGTAGAATCAATGTAAGAAAGGAAGAGATACCACACTCCACGCATTTGAAATATGACTTCAGTTTCTGAGTTAAGTGGCTGGTAGGGACTTTGGAAGCCAAGATAAACAATAATCAAAGAAATCAAGAACCATTATACGTGCTCCCTGAAGAGAGTTGCTGTAGACATTTCTCAGATAATGGACTGGCAAGCATGAGATCCGAGATCTTCTCAAAACATCACCAAAAATCACTTGATGTTCCCTTTTTATTTACATTAAATTAGCACAAGAATTTTATAATAGACGATTTGAGAATGCTCTTATCTATGACATAACACAAATAAATACCGGAAAACAATTCACAATCAAACATCGGGAAGTCGTAAACAAGCAATCTGACCAAGTGTGCTCTCTTAGACATTAACTAACCATTTCTGTCTATAGTTTATGATGAATTGATGGTAAGAAAAAACTCCAGTGAAAAATGGTCATTGCTCAACAAATGCAATCTCTCAAAGCTTACAAAAGCTTTGTGGACCATTAATGGGTAGGAGAAAAACAATGAAATAGAACAAGGAAGTTATAAAAAGCCTGTGAAATGTGAAGTGTATCTATAGAACCGATCTACAATTCTGTTTAAAAGAGAGTTATTGCATGAAGTTATCCACAATAATATTAAAAAAAATGCACATGTATGACCAAGACAATCATAAAAGCTTATGTTCTATTTGTCAAGAAATATGTTCAGAAAGGTAACTTTAATAGTAAGACATAGGTGAGCACTATTTTATAAGTCAAGAGAAAAGGACTCACTGAGCAGGAAATTTGCTGTCTGAGTGAGCTTCAACCCGCAGCCACCAAAGCATAACATGGCGTCCACAACTCCAACCGGTTCTACCACAGAGGTGTCTCTAAGCAGAGACAATGAACTCTATATCCTCCCCATCCCCATCCAATGCTTCAAAATCTTTAATCCAGTCAGGCTTGTCGTCAAGATCCTTCCAAAGCAAACTGGAATTCAACACAAACCCAGCCTCTAACTTTCTCGAAGCACAGGAGCCGGGTCAT